GCGTCGTGTTTGACGGGGCCGCCGAGGAACATTTCATTGTGGTTCAGCGTTTTGCGCGGGGTTGTTATGATGAGACATCGAAGGAAACGGGGAAAATGGTGTAGAGAGACTCCGAGGGCAGGAGAGGTTTCGGGGTGGTGGCTGAGTCAAACCAGCCGAGTTGGGTGAGTTAGGGAGGAACGAGTCCGGTCAAAAGGTTTCCGATAATAAAAAAAAAGAAAAAAAGAAAAGAAAAAGATGATGCGTGTGTGACAATCCAAGCAGAAGATTCCCATGATAGTTGGTGGAACCGAACAGAACGACGAAGCATGTCCTTCCTTTGGAATTCAGTCATTCCTTTTTTATTATATTTATATTTATATGTGCTCTTTTTTTATAAATTATTTTTTCAGCTATTTTTTAAATATTTATCTCCACTCAATTGAAAATATATCATAATTAAACAAAATATAAATATCCAGGCATATAACGGAGCAACCAGCCCCCTTCAACATCTCTCATAATGTGTTCTATCAAACCGACCTTAGCTCAGTTGGTAGAGCGGAGGACTGTAGTGTTGAAGCAGATTGATCCTTAGGTCGCTGGTTCGAATCCGGCAGGTCGGAATTTATATTTTTTTATAATCACTTGGCTTCTCGCATCACCAAGTACTTTCTGTCTTTGAAGAGCTCGTTCACCGAAGAATAATTATTAGGTGTTTGTACTGGATTATGTGACTTCTATTTTTTTTTTTTCCATTTCCCCACTGTATGTATGAGAATATCTTTTTAAAAAAGAAAAAAAAAAAGTAAAAGACTTCCATTATTGAGCCATAAAAGATGCTCAAATTTCTCATTTGTGGTCAACACAACCATTTAACAGATGAATCAAATCATACAACACTATGACACTTTACATGAACTATCCATCTCTCCAACACAACACAAAGCCACGGAGACATAAGAAGCCTAGAAGAATCACGACAGTGCCCATGAAACATACGAGAGTTAACATCTAACCATGGTTACCTTAACACCCTGGAACCATCTCTTCAGAAACCAAACCAACCTCTGGTAAGAAGCAAGAACAGAGAACAAGGAGGGGGAGCCGCCAATGTGAGATATGGCCTTAACCTGGAGAGCAGTAGCATCAGTTCGATGAGAGAATCCACCCGAGAAACTGAAGAGACAGCTCGATCTATATATGGCCTAAGTTCCATATTTTGAACTGGATTTCCTTAGGGCCTTAAGGAGAGATTTGTGAATTGTGACTCCATATCTCTGCTCCTGGACCGCAGGTGGCTAGATGACACTTGTTTCTTTGTCTCTAGCTGTTGTTGTTGCTGCTGCTGTTGGTATAAAGCTCTCAGCCTCACAATCTCTTTCTCCAATACTTCATGCTCCACTGGAAAAACAAACCAAGATTAGTCTGAGATTTCACTTGACAAATTTTATTAGCTCGGGCAAAGGGTAATGCATTGTGAACTTCAAATTTCTGCCCTGAAACTGAGTTTTATGATTTCCGTAGAGGCTGCGAACTTACAGTGTTTTATAAGCTGCTCTTGTGCTAAACTTTCCAACCGCTGCTTAAGAGCTTTGTTCTCCATGCTCAGAATGAGATTCTGCTGATTTGCAAACTCAAGCCCTGCTGATACTTCGGAACCTTCAGCTTGTAATGCCTGAACGTTCCTTTCCAGCTCAGCTATGTATTGGATCTTACGAACCCTAGAACGTTGAGCAAATTGCCTGCAGAAGAAACAGTTCCCGTTTTACTATGCAGTACGCGGAAACACTAGCTAACCTAACGATCACCGTTATTACTATATCCATGTCATCTCGATATTTATACATTATGTATAAAAGACAAGCATATGATGGAAGAATCATATTAGTCAGCATCGTTTACTTCAGTTGTCTTCTCGAGCCTTTCATTGAATCAAACCGTGATTATTTCCATTTCAAAGGCAATTCGAAGAGAAGAAATTAGACCACATACTGTCTAGCACGTTTCGTATCAGCCTCTGAAGCAGCCGGCTTAGCCTGAGGGGCGTCCTTTTTCTCAAAAGATGCCTTGGAGGAATTATTAGAGAATTGTGCAGCAGGAGCCATCTTGCCATCTGCAGCACATGAAACCTTTTCTGTTTCATATGGTACATCGGATGATCCTGAACTCGGGGCACAAGTGTTCTCCAAATAACGAGAACCACTGCTAGGGTGAGCTCCGGAATCAGATATAGAATCAGAAGCCTTATTTTTCTGATTTCCCGAATGAAATGCAGGGTGGAACGAGACATATCGTGAGTCTTTAACGTAATCAAACTCCTTTGGACCGTTGCCATGATGCCCAGCAAAACTATTCTTATATCTACTATCATCCCAAAGAGAATAATGCAGGTTAGAAGCATTAGTAACATCTACATATGCAAACGAGTCACTGGATGAACGCCTATGACCCGCTTTGCGCACAGGAGTGTCTGGCTCGTTGAGAAGGTCATCGAGCCAAGAAGGTTGTTCCTCTATCAGAAAGCTCTCGGAAGAAGTTCGATGATGATGATGGGTATTTCCTTCCCGAGGCATCTGAACAGGTTTAGATCCAATAAAACCATTCGGAACAAAATCTGGGAAGAATGTTGGACCACCAAGAAATGGACTTTTAGGGGGAAGGAAAGCCTGCTTTCCGGAGCACGCCGCGTCTCTAAGGTTCTGAGTCCCCTTTGAATTTGCCATCTGCCTACAATAAACACAATCGATAAAATTAACTCGGAAATAAGCAACAAGCTTTTCCAGCCCATGAGAAAACAACATATTACCAGTCAAGAACATTGGTGATCAGCTTATGAAAGAACTAATTTCCAAAAAAAGCTGACGAGACAACAAAAATAGAAACTAAAATCCCCAGATATGCCAAGAAAAGTATGGATTGGGGAAAAAAGAAAGAGCCAGAGATCCATTAGGTCCTGTTACAGATATTTCTTCATAACAAGCAAGGAGAGAAGACACATAACCACAAAAAAACATAAAGGTGCATCATCTTTTCATACTATGCCTCTATGAATGCGCTAAACCCTGGAGCAATCAACACAAAAACAACTTAATGAGACGAAAAATCAAATTTCTTGACATCCCCATTGATGGAGATAAACAATCTGACAAGACAAACAGACAAGAGAGAGGAGGCAATAGAAACCATGCATTGTGGGCGAACCCCTACCCCTAAACACCATTGCCATGAAGGTGCATTTTTTCTGCTACTATTCGTTTCCAAGTAAGTAACCCAAGTTTGAATCAACGAGAAGCCCTTTATCTCAAAACACGAAACGATACAGATTCCTGAAGATGAACTCAACTCTCCTCTAACCGACATTCTTTAACAGCTAGGAAAAATCGCAGCGCCAGAAACCCTAAAATTTGACCAAATCCAGAAACTTGACAGCAGAACAACACAACAATCAATGTACCAAACAAACCCAGTCAAATCGAAGGAAACGTGGTTTTCCCGGGGGGGGGAACAAGAACAAGGAAGCAGAAATCAATGGCGGAATAGATTTCTCCGAAACAGGAAACAACAGAGATGGTGAAGGATCAAAACCATACCAGGATCTGTCGAAATCGAATCGGTGAACGGGGGAGGAAGAGAAGAATGGAGGATTGGTGTAGTGTCGTTGGTTGTCTTCGTCGAGTTGTCTCGTTCTACTTGTTTTTCAACCCCTCTGGTTCTGTCTTAGTTCCTCTCTCTCTCTTTTTCTGGTGGAAGAGGTTGGATGCTAGCTGGATTGATCAGTCATGCCTAAAAATTTAACGTATATACCCACAATTGATTTACCTCACCCTATTTTCGATTTTCAATTTCCTCAATTAATTTTAATAATCATAATAATAATTATTACATAATATATAACTATTTACCAACGAATTGTTTTTTTTTTAAAATTTGTTCACAAAACAATTCATTGAGAAAATTTAACAAAACTAAAAAGAACTACAAGAAAAATATAATATTTTAAAAACAATAAATAACTACAAAATGTTTACATTATAAAAACAAATACACGAAAGAGAATAGTATATATATATATATATAACTTTACGCGCTTAACTTATATATTTCTTTTTTTTAAATGATAATTCACTTTCATAAGAAAGAATATTTGTTTTTAAGTTCTAATTGATAGTTCACGTGCATTTGTTTTCAGTTAGCGTATATTACGAATTTAAAAAAAAAACAGTATTCTATCCGACATGAAATCAATGTCCAATTAATGATAAATTGTACGAGTCACAAAAAATGTGAACAAATTCTATTTTCATGCGGATTGGACAATTATCTAAATATTATGTTAAAACTTTTAAATCAAAATACGACAAACATCTATTATTACGTATATAACCCTAACGTTATTTCTTAAAGATGGAATTCACGTGTGCTAAATTACCGTTTTAGAATCGTTTTCTTTAAGAAATCTTATTAAAGGTTTCGTTTGTAAACAACTTAATCTAATGAACTTTATTAAATTAACATATTTTGTTAAAAAAGAAAAACTTGAGAAGCTGCCATTGATGCATCTTTTATCTTCAACCTCAATAGAAAATTATTACAAGTCTCGGACCAAACTATGACTGGATCCAGAGATTACAGCATAAACATTTACCAGTTTCATAGGTTAAAAAAAAAAGATTTTACCCCCAAGTATCCACAGATAAAATGGCATTAGATGGATGGATGGGTATTATCAGATCAATTTCTGTGAAGTATTATTGTTATAAGCAAATCACATGTTGCTGCACCAGTACGCATAGTGCTCATCTCTCCTGTGGATGCTCACAAGGCCTCCACACTGCAAACAGATAAAGCTGCTTCCATCCTCGAACGCGTCCAGCATGATCTGGGATTGCCCGGTTTCCGCCAGTATAGATGCCCCATGTGCATCCGATGCGACTGTTTGGTTGGCGCCCGGAAAGTTGATCGATGGTGGAGGGTCGGGCTTTGATGGGTGTGCTTCTGCGATGGCGCATTCTGCAAATAACGACGCCAGCCGATCCACTGAAGCTGTTTCTTGGATTCTATGGATGTAGAGTTCACGGGCACGGTTCAGGATCTGGATCACGGCTTGATCTCCTCCCTGTGCTCTTGTCGCCATAACTACCTGTATAGAACAAGAAAGACCGCCTCAGAAAAGGAAATTTTCAGGGAAAAGTCAGATAAAATATTAGGAGAAGTGTCACGACATGGGATACGAGAGAAACTGACTTCCTTAACTTCGAGTAGCAGTGGCTTCAAATCAAGATTTCTAAGCACAAAGGGTCAAAACCCTTCATGCGTGCTTGCTTTTGAAAGAAGCAGAACACAAGAGTACCAATAGATGATTGCTGTCATTCATTCATGATCTAAGATCAAACGTCGATGTAAAAATCTAGCAGAAGAACACTAGCTATAATCAAAACCTTTTTTATCTGTCAGAGAAATAAGTAGAAGTCTGCATTTGTGATCTTTCAAGCACAACAATGGCATCCAAAAGGAAAGTTTTTTCATTCATTGGACCACACGGTAATCCCCTGGGAAACCTAGTAATAAATCTTCCATTCCCAAGCCTGAACAGAGACATTACAAGCCCTTTTCCACACAATCCTTCAAATCAACACCATAAGATCTTTTTGCCATAACCAGGACACGACAAAGATCAGAAACTTGTAGCTAATTCGATCTAACAATCCAAAGCCCAGTTTCGAATTCAGACATCCTCAGCGTAAACCAAATCGCAGTAAATCTCAAGCAACTCCAAAGAAGACCCACCAATGACCCAAATCATGATTAACAAAAATAAGTAGAAATATTACTTCTTTTCTCAAAATTAGTCCCAAACTCACAAACACTGAACGATTCCAGAACAAGTCGAAAGAGCCCAAAAAAAAGGAAGAGAAATGAAGAAGATGACATGGCGTTACCGCTTGAAGAGCTTGAGATGGCTTCCCTTGATCGATGAGTCTCCTCGCCGCGGCGACAAAATCCCTCGCGGCGTCGGACTTGTCGAGAAAGAGCGGAAGCGGCGAGTCGCCGCCGTCGGTGTCCATCATCTCCGCCTGGGAACCGCCTTTCATGCCTAAGGCATCTGCAAAGACAAATCCCACCAGTCACGACGCAGATTTCTTCCGATGTCACAGGAAAAGACGAGGTAACTTTCGCTCGCCAGAGTTTTCTAGGAATTTCTGGTCACGAGCGAAGAATTCAAGACGACGGATCACCGCCGCATCGTTTTCGAAGCATATTTCTTGGGCTTTATAGTATTGGGCTTTGAATGGGCTGATCTTTTTATAATGGGCCTCTAATGCCATCCAGTGAACCAGCCTCATCATATGTGGATTGTGAATTTTATAATTTATATTGATAATAAACGATATAAAATTAGCTTTTTTTACGAAAAATGTATCTATATAATTATAAATTTCTGTAAGATTTATAAAACACTAAATAGTTTTTTTAAGTGGATTTCAACCGAAGAGTTCATTTGTAATCACGGGATAAATAAATAAACAAATATATATATATATATCTTAAAATAAAAAATTAATGCGATTATGGTTCGGTCGAAATATAGTAATTGGTGATGGAATCAATACGAGCTCATGAGATATTAAATGACAGACCCAACAAGGGACAATAATTATTTGTCCAAATGAGAACACGATCCAATTCCGACTTTGTAATAATGAACACTCGAACACATCCACTTCTATCATCTCCATCATTACCATCCCAAAGTCAATAAAATGAGAACGCAAATCTAACCAATGCCTCGATCTTCCTTTGGTATATACATACATGATACATCCTAAGTCAATATTAATCGAGTATTTTTTTTGTGTGTACATATAGAGAGATTGCAAGTTGTAAAATCTTAATATCGAATACAAGTAACTGTGATTTCGATTTTTTATAATCTGAAAATTTATCGACGGTCGGACTAAAAGCGAGAAAATAAAAACTGGTAAATAACCGTCTTACAATGTTTCTGGTACGAATCGAACTTGAGATGAGTTCATGTTTTGCATATCAAACTACCGAAATTTGGATATAATTTCATAATTTTTAAAAAAGTTTCAGAACATATTTTCTGTAATTTATATGGATATCCGTGAATATCCGAGATTGAAAACAACAAATCTAAACATATCCCATGTTGGTGGCTATTTCTTCCAACAAGATATTTTTTAACTCTTTTCAATTGGATACCCAAAAAATCGAGTTTTTTTTTTTCCTTTTAATACACATAATTAAACAAAAATGGGACCTTTCTCTCGAGTTGAATTCCATACCATATTGAAATTACCCCAAAATCTTTATAATTGCAGGTTTAGAGTAAGATTTGGGGGATCAATAATGTCTAATGGGTTTGGTAGAAATATGTGTCACCTTTGGTGTACCCTCTGATTTTGTTGGTCCATTGAAATAGGTTTCTAACCCATCAATTTAATCATTATCGCATGTGCATTGTGGGAGAAAATGGCGCCCACAGGTCGACATGACTTTCAGTGGTTCCAATATGCACTAAAATTCATAGATAGGAAATATGAGAGATTATAATTCAACTTTCTCTATGATTAGATTGCACCATTGCTAATATTTCACTTTTTATATATTATATACTTTTAAAAAACCAAGTAATTTTTTAAAAAAAATTACAATCCATTTTATCTTATCTTCCTGTCGGAAAATCTTAAAAAGAATGAAAGGAACTCTACAATCGATCTATGCTTTTAGAAAAAAAGAAATGGTGTGCACTAAAAAAAACATAGGACTATGTATGTTGGCAGGATTATGTCATGAAGTCAAATATAACATGACATGACATGACATGACATGACATAACGCATGCGTGTAACGTTCAATAATACCAATTCTTCATTCGTTGACAAAGATTTTCTCAAATTCCATATCATCACCCATCAATGTTTATATCATGCCCCTCATGAATTGACCTTATTGGGTGTTGCATTTTATGTTTATATCTATGATATTTATGAAGGAAATATACCCAATATTTTAACCATATAACCTCTATGACGTGGCATTACTTTGCTTTCGAAGTAAAGAGAATAACATCGTTAACAAAATAAAGCAGATATAATTTAACGCAACCTTATTCCAAGAAACATTATCCCTCGTGAAAAAAAACGGTTCTAGCAATATGGTAGCATTTTGAAAATGACTGCATGCGAACAGATCTTCCATGAATCTGATTCATCGAATACATACATCAAGGTGAAGGGGGCAACAATGGCGTCCAAGCATCAGAAGAAGAAGATGAAGAAGAGAATTTACGAGGAACAGAACTGGGAAACCACATGTGGGAACAGTACTTTGGTTTTGCAAGGAAATCTACACATTCCTTGACCGATCTCTGGTTCGGAAGCAAAGGGATACAGTTGTTCCTTACGTCAAGAACACCTTTACGGATCAAGATCCTGCAAAACGGTCCAACCCTCGTGAAATAATTATCAGACAACGAGAAATTCGCCAGATTCCGAAGAACACACGCTGTCTCGGGCACCGTCCCGAACAACGAGTTCCCGGCGAAATTTAGCTGCTCGGCTTTCTCCAAACACGTCAAAGATGTCGGTAAAGGGCCCGTTAATCTGTTCTGTCCCACGTCGAAGACTCTTGCCTCTTTCAAGAACCCGATTTCGTATGGTAAACAACCGGTCAAGTCGTTGTTCAGGAACAGAATCTCGGTTACTTTCGACATTGTCCTAAGTATCCCTCTCGGGATTGGACCGTTGAACTTGTTGTTGGCTAACGTCAAGTACTGAATGTGGGTTTCTCCGATCGTTTCGGGCAATGTTGCAGTGAATTCATTGTCGTTGATGAAGAGAACGTCGAGGTCTTGAGCGAAGATTTGGGGAGGGATTGAGCCGGAGAATTGGTTGAACCGGATGTCTAAGAACGTTAAACCGGGCATACCGAGAACCGCTGTCGGAAACGGACCGGAGAATCTGTTGTTGCTGATGTCAAACTCGTAGAGGTACTTGAGCTCCGCGATCTTGGGAGGTACAATGCCTCCGAAGTTGTTGGAATTGGCGTGAAAGAGAGCTACATCTGGAAGCTGATCAAGAAACCCTTCAATGGAAGGAGCCGAGAGCTGGAAGCCATTGAAATCGATGGAAGCTACGGCTATGGCGGGGCCCTTGTCGGGAGGGGTGTCACAGAAGAAAACTCGGTAACTGCATATGTCT